TAAAGCGGAAGAGAAAGAGAAGAAAGAGAAGAAGCAGTTATATTTCTGAAATCTTACAATATTTACAATATTCGCAGAGGGATACAAGGGAAGGCTGAGAACTTAGGCTATGAAGGAGTTGGTCGAGGAAGGTAGAGTTTAAGACTCTAAAAGAGCTGTAAATTCTACTTCGACAACTGACTCTTTTATAGACTCTTAAGAGTTCCCTATTAACTATACAGCTGGCACAAGTGGCCGACAAAAGAAAAGATAATTACAACTGGCACACCTTTACTTTCGGTGGCCGACGCTAAAAACAAAATTACATGACTCTTCTTTCCACGTTGTGGGTCCCTTTTTCTGGTTGTAGGAATCCACTGTTTTTTCTTCTGGACTGAGAACCTGGACTGAGAACTATTGCATCTTTTGGGCGATGGGCCAGATAAGCCCAACTTCTTACTCGGATGCTTTTCTTAGAAGGATATCTCATGGGGGTCTTTTTCTAATTTCTTCATGATATTTTGAATTCTATTGTACAATTCTTTTTTGGAGGACTTCATGATATTCTGAATTCTTCTTTGCATTTCTTTATCATAGGATGTAATTGGTTGCTAGAACTGATCAAAATCTACATTTTCTTCGTCTTCATATGGGTCTTGTGCATCTTGAATGTTAATTATGACTTCGTTTTCTTCTTCTTCTTCTTCTTCGTCTGAGCCCAAAGAGGATAATGCTTCGAGCATTTTTTGTTTTAGTTGGGACTTTTCTAGTTTTGAGGAGGGGATTTGTGACAAATCTATTATGGATTTTCCCTTGTCTTTTATGGAAGGGTTTTCTTTAGGTATTGGGCATGTTCGACTGATGAGGCCCATTTTTCTCCAGTTTTCGAATTTTTCTTCAACATATTGGACTTCAAATTTTTTCCACCAAAAAACTTTGGTTTTTAGGCAAAGGGTTTTTGGATAAGTTTCGTCCTTATGCTGATGGACTTCGGGAATGTGGGCCAAAAGCCAACTTATTCCCATGGTTGAACAGAACTTTATAATTCTAAGATATGGAGGGTATTGAGGGGTGAGGGTTTTGTATTTCTGGTAGATTTTCATGACTTTTTCGGGGATTATTGATTGAACGGGACCTATTTGATGGAACTAGTCAATAAACCAGTTCGGTAAGGAGTTTGGTATTTCTTTTTTAAAACAGATGTACCAAGAATGCCTAGGGTTGGTATCGAAGAGAATTTTATTCCAGGCTTCTTAGTAATCAAAGTAATTGTATGATGGGGGGTCAAAGGGCCTCGAAAAGCTCTTATCAGTGAATGGATGTTGATTCCATTTTGGGTAGGAAATTATTTTGATGATTCTTAATTTTGAGTAGCTAATAATAGAGGGATCTCTATCATTAGGGATGAGAGTTATTTCGGCTGAACCAGTATCTATTAAAATAAATTGATAAAAATTTTTGGTTTTCTTTAAATTTTCCGATATGGGTATCCAGCTCCATCCTAGAGGAGCTACCCTTTTAAGTATTTCGTATACATCTTCTGCATTCCAGTCTTCTTCTAGAGTAATTATTTTCTGGCATCCTTCTTTGATATGAAATTCTTTTTTCGGGGTTATTTCTGGGGAAATGTTCTGAGGTTTTTGAGGAGTTAATGGAGTAAATCTATTAGGGAGAGTTGTGATGGAAGTAGGAAGTTTTTGGGTGGTTATGGTTTTTGAATAAGAAGGGGCAAAGTCATCTAGAAATAAGGTAGATGACTTAGGATTTTCGGGTTTATTCTTTTCTGGGGTATTAGGTTTTTTTGAGGGGGTTGCCATGGGAATGGTCCTGCAAAAAGTCTCTTGTTAGAAAATCTGGAATTGAATTTTCTTTTCCTTTTATAAATTCTATATCAAATTCAAAGCAAGATAATAAGTTTTGCCATCTAGCAAATATTTGTTTAGAAACTATATTTTTTACATCTTTTTCTAAAACTTCTTTGGCAGATTTGCAATCGATTCTTAACAAAAACTTTTTATTTATTAAATCATGTTGAAATTTTTGTATATTCAAAACTATGCTTAAAATTTCTTTTTTAATAGTACTATAATTTTTTTGAGTTTCATTCCATATTCCTGAATGATATCTTACTATTTGTTCGGGAGTATTAGGTAAATGTTGTTTTAGTATTCCTCTGTATCCTATATCAGAGACATCCGTTTCTATAATTATTTTTGCCTCGGGATTAGGTATTCCTAGGCAGGGTAGAGTTTTTACTAATTTTTTGACTTCTATTACTATATTAGTCATTTCTGTGGTCCAGGGTTTAGGATTTTTTCTTAATCTATTAAAGAGAGGTTTACATAATATTCGAATGTTAGGTATAAATTCTGATACATAATTTAAGCATCCTAAAAATCTTTGTAATTGTAATTTATCTTTTATTTCATCCGGAAATTTTTCTGCAAATTCAATGCTTCTTTTAATAGGTGTTATAGTTCCTTTATCTATTTCATGTCCTAAAAACCTAATATGGGTTTGAGCTAGTTTTATTTTCTTTTGTGATATTACCATTCCATTATTTTTTATAATATTTTTAAATATTCTTAAATGTTGTTTATGTTGTTCTATTGATTCAGAGAATATTAATACATCGTCAATGTAAACAATGACAAATTTTGAATATGGGTTTAGTATATCATTCATTATTTTTTGAAATTCTGACGGTGCATTTTTTAAACCCATAGGCATTACGTTCCATTCGTATTGCCCAAAAGGTACAATAAAAGCAGTTTTATATTTATCTTGTTCTTTTAATTTAATTTGATAATAGTCACTTTTCATATCAAATTTAGAGAATATAGTGGCTTTATAAATTCTGCTTATTAATTCAGTTTTATTAGGTAGTGGATATCTAATCCATTTTAAAACTTTGTTTAGGGGTTTATAATTTATTACCATTCGTGGTTCTCCTCTTTCTATTTTGGAGGCATTTTGCACATAGAATGCAGCACAACTCCAAGGAGATTTACTGGGTCTAATCAGTTTTTTATCTAAAAAAGATTTTATTTCTTTTCTACAGTATTCTAGCGTTTCTTTATTTAGTTGTACTGGTTTAGCTTTAGTAGGAATATTCTTTTCTAAAAATCCTTCTTCATAGGGTAATTCTATTTCAAAAGTGTGCCTATTCCAAAAGGCGGTAGGTACCTCAGCGCATACTTCTTTTATAATTTCTTGTTCTATATTTTTAAAGGCGGTAATTACTTCAGGATTTTTTAACTGTTCTTCTATTCTTTTATGTGCTATTTCTTGTTTTAAATATTTTATATGGGTATTTTTTGCTTCTAATTTTAATAGAAAATTTTCTTCGTTTATATCTGTTACTAATTGTATTTCTTTAGTTTTTATTGGTTTAATAAATTCGAATAAAAGATTTTTATGTTTTATTCCTTGTTCGGATACTTCAAAAGGGTAAATTAATGCTAAAAATGGGGTTCCTAATATCATTTCTTCGCTAATGTCGGGAGTTAATATAAAAGTATTTTTAAAACAAGTTCCTTTATTACATATACTTGACATTTGATAATTTATATTTTACTTTTAGTTTTTCGAGTTGGTCTGTTCTTAGGGTTTGTAGAGTTTTTTCATAGAATTTTGTAGGTATTAATCCTTCTCTTATACAATTTATATCAGCTCCAGAATCTACCAAAGCTGTAAATTGTTTATGAAAACTATTTCCAATTTTTAATGTAGCTTTTATATGTCATTTTTGTTGTAAAATCTTTAGTTGATTAACCGTTTCGGAGGTTGATTCAGTTTTTAAAATTTCTTTATTATTTATAATTTTTATTTTTTCCTCTTGTATTTCATTTTTTATTTTTAATTCTACTAATTAAATTTTTATTTCTTTAATTTCTTCTTTTAAAAGGCTTATTTCTTTTTGTAAATCTTGTACGTTTACATGTTTTTCTTTATTTATGGCTTTACGTAATATTTTAGAAAAGTCATAACCACTTACTTCCTTTTGTACTATTTCTGTTTCTTTTTCACTTAATATTAATGTTTTTAATTTAGTTAGATATTCTAGCTTATCTTCTTCATTGGGAAGTTTATCTACCATTTCTAGAGCTATTCTAGTTTCGATGGTTAAAACATTTATGTTAAATATGCAATCACAATTTTCTTCATTTTCATCTTCACTTGTAGTAGGTTCATTTTCACTACTTGCTAGGTTCTATTAAATTATTAATGTCTTCTTCTGACTCATATAATAATATTTTTACTATTTGATTTTTTGTATCTTCACTCATTTTTAAGTTTTGTATTCGTTCTTTTACTCTATAATCTTTTTTCATATGTTCATATCTTCCACATTTATATATATATGGGTGTACACTTTTTAAATATTTGATAGCACTAAAAACTGAAAAAGTTAATATAACGGGATCCCTAATCTAAACACTTAATAATATTTTTTAATTATATATATAAAATATCTTTAAATATAAAATGTATACTTTTACTTAATAACGATATATTTAATTAATAATATAAATTAATTTTAGATTAAAAAATTATAATCTAAGATGATTAACAGAGAATATCTAAACTAATTACATACATAATGTATGGAATGCATTATAAAAGAAATATTGTTACTTTTTTTCTTTCTAATTTATAATATAGGATGATGGATTAATAATGTATCTATGGGGGAACTTATTCAACGAGGATCACTTAATGTATTTATATTAAAAAAAAAATTGTTTTAAGCAATAAGGGGTTTTGAGGTTGGTAGACTGCGCACGGGCGCGTACCCTAGCAGGAAATGGTTTACAATAGAATACAGAAGCAATGTGTTATCGTTATTTCTCTTCATCTTGTTCTTGTTCTTGGTACTGCTGGAACCTGACGAAGAACACATTCCGTTTTCCTCTGCTTTTCCAATTTTCCACCGACTCCACCTACCATGCTATACAATTAGGGTTAGGACGTAGGGCGTTCTTCTTCTTTTAGCTTCGTTAATTACAACGACAGCCAGCATGGTTGTTCTTTCGCTTTCAGCTCCCAACCTCTCCACTGCTTTTCTCGCTAAGAAACTGTACCTCTCTCTCTCTCTCTCTCTCTCTCTCTTTGCTTTCCTTTGCGTATTGATTGATTACCTTTAATTTTCAGATTAATTAGTGTTTTATTTTTCTTTATTTTGATGGTTTTGGATTCTTCAATGGTTTTTTCGTGCATAACTATTGAATTTGGGTTTCTTCAGGTCTCTCCGGGAACACGCGACGAAGCTTACGGCCTTTCGCACTAGATGCGCGGTGGACACGCCCTACGGAGGTATCACCTAAAGCCTTTTCAAATTTGTTCATCCTAGTTACTCAAGAAAATATCTAACCCTATCAATTATATAACTTTTGTTCCTCAAAATGTTTTATTATTAAGATAGCTATGAGGCGGTGATGTTGCTTTATTGGTAAGATTTTGACTACTGTGCATAGTAATGTGTATTTGTTTATTTATTGGCCTGTTTAGGCTTCAATTCAGTTATCCAACCTTCAGTTTTTAGTCCTAGCTGAGGCTTCTATTTTTTCTAGCTCCAGCTTAGTTCCCTCTTGTGTAAAAGTTGAAGGAAAATCCAAGCTGGGCTTTGTTTTGAGATTAATTTTATTCCTATTAACAAGTCACCTTCTGTCCCCCCCCCCCCCACTCTCTCCCCCTTCATATGTATATGTTATCCCTCGAACTTTGACATCTAATATGAATTAATACTTCTTTTTCAATGTATTAATTAGCAATATTCCTGAACTAATTCAGATGTATTACTTTTTTTCTGAAAACATGTTGAGAGTTAAAGAAAGTAACGAATATCCTTGTTACATGATCTGGCAAAAGTTCAAGTTAAGCTGTACAGCTCTTACAGAATCAAACACCAAAAACTTAATCTCTAAAGGTTGAGGTGATACACAACGGACGTGAGTTAAATTATTTTCCCAAGAAGGAGGATGTGTTGTCGATCAACCAAGAAAATAAGCACTGCAGTTTCATTGTCTATGAGTTTTTGTGGGAGGTAACCTGTCTGTTAAAGATGTGCTTGGTCTTCTTAATTAGATGGATGGAACCTATAGTATCAGTGTCCAGGCAGACTTGGTAGATTAGCAGGATTAAATATTCCTGTCTTGAGAGATATCTTTTGTACCTAGTAACAAAATTTGGGCTCCAGAATTTGATCTCATGTACAACATTCCTTTACTAATTACTAGTGTTATTTCTCCTTCTTGTTGCTAGTTGAATGATTTCAAAAAGCCTGCTAACTTTTACAGCATTGACTATTGCCTGACAAATTTGTAAATGAAGTTTAAGTGACTTGGGTCATGATTCATATTAATTTGTAAAATCTGCATTTGTACTCATGGTTGCATTTCTCTGTTATTTTCCACCTTATGAATTAACTATTGATATGTGTATTTATATATAATTTTTATATGCAGGTAATGTCCAAAAATTCCCTAGAATCAATGTTTGGGATCCTTACCGTCGACTTGGTATTAGCCCTGATGCTTCAGAAGAAGAAATTTGGGGATCTAGAAATTTTCTCTTGCAACAATATGCTGGGCATGAGAGGAGTGAAGAATCAATAGAAGCAGCTTTTGAAAAATTATTGATGGCAAGTTTCATACAGAGGAGGAAAACAAAAATTAATTTGAAAAGCAAGTTAAAAAAGAAAGTAGAAGAGTCTCCACCATGGGTGAAGAACTTGCTAAACTTTGTTGAACTTCCACCGACTGAAATCATCCTCAGAAGATTGTTTCTATTTGGCTTCATGTGTGGCTGGAGTATTATGAATTCTGCTGAAACTGGACCTGCGTTTCAGGTTTGTTTTTAATTTTTATTTTTTTACCTCTATTTGTTGTATAAACAAATGCATATTAAAACTGTATTTTATTTAAAAAAAAAAAAACATAGATGTCATCTTCTATAAAGAAGTATTAAAAGAGTGACACCCAGAAATTTAAAAAAAGAAAACCAAATTATATATTCATCTAGTCCTTTCCTTCTCAAGCCAGATGACATAAGTGTATCAGAGTTGTTCCATATACTGCGTGGAAGTCAACTACCAATCTCTAGATCATACCTTTACATCAAAGGCCATACTTGAGTTATGCCTGACTATTACTGAAGGTTGCATAGAAATTTCTGATAACTGACTAACGGACTTTCAGGTTACTGTGTTGAGTACTTTAACCATCAATCATAATTTTAATCTCATTGTAAACCTTGGTCATTGCCATTTTTAAGTTTTTCAATATTTTCAATAAAGTGTCAATAGTCTTTTTTGGTCCAAGAGCATTTCCGATGTAAGATATCATAAGAAACTCTTATATAAGCATGCTGGTAAGAGTCTTAAAATTAAGACCCGGGTCTTAAGACCGTGTCTTAAGAATAAAAAATATTTTTTTCAATACCAACGTTAAATTAATAATTAATTGTAATATTAAATTAATTTTTTAAGCTGTAAAAAATTGAAGTGCAAATAAAAAATCATAGAAGTGTGGGTCTTGTAAGACCTTACCGTTGGTACAAAACTTGTAAAACTTCTTAAAAAAAATGTGACATGATCAGGCCTATCTAAAGTAAAATAAATAATCGTGAGAGTTTCTTATAAGACCTTGCATTGTGAATGCTCAGTAGTCACTTTAGGTTGCTCCAACTATAAGTAGATTCTGGTGGGCCCATTTAAGCAGTCTCCTCTCTGTGTGTGCGCATGCGTACCCACTCATAAAGGACTTGAAGAGATTTTACTCAAGGGAATCCTAGTTCCTTTCGACTTGGATGGATCCACCTTGGCAATATTACCTTGTTAATGCATTTCTACTTATCCTTTCATTTGTTCATAAGTGTATTGAGACTTATTCAGGTGATTGTGTGCTCTATAAGCTATATTTGATCTCAAGTTCATGCAATATTGGAGTTACATGTCAGGATCAGGGAACATTATTAAAGAATTTGAAGTAGTTATCATTGATCTGTCTGTCTCTGTCCTCTTTCTGCTTCCCTCGAGGCATGAATAGTTGCTTGTTGACACTATTGCATTGCTTCAGGTAGCAATATCTTTGGCTGCTTGCATATATTTTCTTAACGAAAAGACAAAGAGCTTGGCTAGAGCATTCATTATTGGGTAAGTGACTAGAGCCTCCAACTTATGTTTTAAGTCGGATTTTTTACTATTCGCCGTCACCATCTACACTGTTGCACTATGATAGGTTTGGAGCTCTAGTGGCTGGATGGGTCTCTGGTTCATTGCTGGTACCCAATATTCCATCTATGTTGCTGCGCCCAACTTGGACACTTGAACTGTTAACGTCAATGGTAGTTTACGTATTTTTGTTCATTGCTTGTACTTTTCTCAAGTGAAGTGGCATCGATTCTTTCAATGTTTTATTCGGGGATGAGTTTATAGGCGATCAAACTGAACTTTAGCTAAATTGTTTACTGACTTATTCTTTATGAAAACAACTGTCTGAGCTGGCAATGATCAGCGCGTACATCATTACTGTGCCCTAACTTCTGCCGTGCTTTGTATCTTAAAATCTGTCGTCGAACTCATCTTATTCTTCAGCTAACTTCTGACATAGCTGAGTAGCCGAACAATGGGTTTCTAACCTCACCAATCACTCAATATTCCTTTCTGTGCCCACAACTTGGTTAAATTTTCTGAAGTACAGTTAGAATTTTGTAAGTCGGCACGCCCAACATTTAATATACAATGTAGTGTCAACGAAAGTCATTGTTGTCACCATGATTCTTAACTAGGTCTGTCAAGCAACGATCATTGTATTAAAGTATTTATTTGGTGTTTCAAATATTTTAAAAGCATATTTTGTTTTTCAGTGTCAATTTTAAGAGCAGGGTATTTGGATAGTTGAAAGGTCACCTTAACTTGTTAGTGCCATTACAGTTCTTTCAACGGCAGATAGTGACATATTAGGAAAAGGCAAAGTAAAATTAGAGTTCTAGGAAAGTGGAGTTGTATCTTATTATTTTTCTGCTATACAAAGTTATCATGTTATTAGATGATATTAATTTATTTATAAGGGTTAAATCATAATCCGTTTTTAGTTGCAACTTCATAGACAAGGCCGTATGAATCAGTGTTAGTGGGACAAATCATAAATTAGTTCAAACTATTGAATCAATTGGATAGATGGTAGGTTATTTGCTTGGATACATAGATGTTTCACTTGTATAATGAATATTAGAATTGTAATGATTATTTCCTTTTTAAGTTTCACACGGTGCATGGCTCTATTCTTTAGCAGGATCAAATTTCTCTCCTGTTTTCAAATTTTCAGCATGATATTTTAAGATGTTAGTATTATTTTATTAAAATATAAGAAAAATAAATATTATATGAATGTTGTTTTATTAAAAATATAAAAAATAAATGTTAATTTTAAAACAATAGAAAGTATAGATGCCCTTTAGTTTATAACTTTTTATAGTTGTTTTCTATAAGAATAAGATATTGTAAAATTAGTTAAAATAGCTAGCAAAATTAATATGTGAATTAATAGTAATGGCGATCAATCTTTAAATAATAAAGAGACTTTTTTCTTCTTCTTTTTTTTTTTAATGAAGGATTACATTTAATATTTAGTATTTAGTATTTAGGATATTTGATGATATGAAAAATAAATAAAAAATCTAAAGAAAATTTTCACTAAGTACAAAGATAATCTCAAAGATTAGGTAAGTGAGAAAGTTCAGTTCTTGTGAATCTAAAGAGAAGAGAGTGAAATGAAATAAATTGATGAAAATAATAAGAAAAGTGACATGAAATTTAAACAAATATATAATGTATACAATATTAAAGAATATAAAAATTGATGGAATAAAAAGATTAAAATAAAAAAGGAAAATAATGAGTATTATAAGACCACCTTAACATAAATAGTAATTGTCCTTAAGTTTAGCTCAAAATAAAACGCAAGGCGAGAAGGAACATTCAAACCATAACGTTAAAAAAGAATTATATTATCTCAAAATAAATAAAGCCAAAATAAGAGGGGGAAACTCTCTTAAATAGCAAGGGACTTAGAAAAAAAATATAAACAAACAAAAATCCTAAATATATACTTTAGAAGGGTAAGGAATGTCGTGTTTCTAATTATCCTCCTGTTACAATTTTTTCCTTCTTTCTTAGATATACTCATCACTTTCTTTCTTTGTAGAATAAAACATATGTGAATATTCAAAATCTTACTTCTGCTCGGCGTGCATAATATTTGCTCAAGGATTATGATACATAAATAACCTAATAAAAAAACAATTATTCAAAATATAATAATAATAATAATAATAATAATAATAACAATTATTATTATTATTATTATTATTGATATTTTCACTTTTCTTTCTCTTCCTCTATCACTCAATAATTGTTTGTTTGTTTAGAATGGATTCTCAAACAAAATTTTCTCTGCTTAAAGGTTAAGTTGGGAGAAAAAAAATAGTAGTAGAAGTTTTGGGTTTAATTTCTTTTAATTTTGTTTAGACTTTTCAATAATTAGAAAATTATTAAATATTGTAATTTTTAAGATAATTATTGCAAAATTTCACAAGAGTTCAACACATACTATTTACTCTGTTTTAAAAAATAAAACAATTAATCTTATACAACATTTTATAAGATGGGTGATATAAAAAAATAGAAAAAAGTTAGTATTATTAAAAATATTGTGAAAGATTGCCAGACCAAAGCTTATAGGTGTTATTTAACACAATATCAAATTAATATCCCAACAATAATTAAATACGTCCATCATTATTTTTTAGAGTGAAAATTTTGATGCCACGAAAACGATTAATTTAAGTTTTCATGCACATGCATTCATAAAATAAAAGAACGATATGAAAGTTTACGTAGAAAATATATGATGTATGAAGGTGTCTCTGGTAAAAAATGTTGGATACAATTCGACAAGTTTATTCCCAGTTAAATTTTCTAATAGTGTTAATTGGAACCTGAACAATAATAATTCAAGAAATTGACACAACACAAATATATCATATCTAAACGCTAAATGCCCACCAAAACAAAAGGATTAGAGAAATTGAGGAACAAGATCCAGCATTACAAAAGCACAAAACCATACAATACAGTACACATACTGAAGTCTAAACGTGACTAACTGTATTTGAAACCTAACTAGCTAATGATGAACCTAAATATTGAACACACGAAATAGTTCGCTATGTCATGCATGCATAAACACTAGTGAATCAAGGACATGGTGTTTTGCGGTGGTTCCAGCGTGAATCGGTTCTGTTGTTCTTGATGGCATAGCAGCCCAAGGAGTATATGGCAGTGACGAGCACAAGCACACATGCGTTGAATACAGTGAGGCGTCTCCATTGGTTCCTTATGTTGGCCAAAACTCCTCCCTTGCATGAATTGCACTCGTAGCACAGTTTGTCTTCCCCGTTGTTCCATGTTGTGCAGTCAGAACTATTCACTGCTGGACCCTTCTTTGGCACTTCCCAGAACGTAGCATTCTTCATTATGAACCCACAATACACCGGTGGTTTACAACAACCAGACTGAAAAAAGAATATTAAGTAATTGCTACATGTGTAGACCAGGAATTCAAATACATTTGTGTGTCGCAACCATAGCCATGAATCACCAACTTTGGACAACTCAAACTATCACTACATATTCTTAATTAACCAACTTAACAGCATATTACAAGAAGAAACAAGAGATATAAAACCTGAGTGGTAGATAGGTGTTTGAAAATGAGCGAGTCATTGTTGCGGCCACCGTTGAGGGCGAGGTTCTGGCACACGTGCGCGTCCATCAAGCAACTCTTCACCTCGTCCCAGTTCTTGTTGTTGACGACGTAGCGTTGCAACCAGTGAGAGAAATCTGCCACCCTGTACTCGCCATATCCCTTCCCGGAAACCTGCTGCCCCACCTTCCTGTTCGTCACGAAGAGCGTGAAGACAGTGAAGAAGGCGAGGCCCACGATAAGCGCCAAAGTGACGAAAAGGTAGGCGTAGAGCGCCACGTTGACGCGGCACAGCGCCCCCACGATTCCCAATGCGGAGACCAGCACGACAAAGACGCCACCCACGAGCAGCGGCACTTGCAGGACCTTCTGGCAGTCGGAACCGCCGCGGATGTGGATGTAGGCGGAGGAGGCCACGGCGGCCACCCCCAGGAGCAGGGTGAGGATGTTGAGCGCGCCGACTACGGTGTTGCTTATGCGGAACATATTAGCGAACTAGAATGTTGTTGGCTTATGAGAGATCTGTAAAAGAAAGAAGGTGTGTTGAAGGAAGAAGACATTGTGGATGGAATAGTAACCGTCTTATAATATAAGTGGGATCGAAAGCAGTTATGGGTGTTTTAACGGTGGAATTAACACAGGCCGGATTTTAGTTATTTACGGATATGCCACCCATGCTGATTTGGCTAATTGGATAAGTGCCACGTCATTGATGATCAGTTTTGTTACATTCAGACAGTTATTTTCAACAATTGGCTTTCATTCTTCTCTAATTTTATTATGTTTTAACAAGAATAACTCACATCAATTTACTTTTAAAATTTTAAAATAAGGATTAATAATTTAAAATAAATATTAATAATGCCAAATTATTATTGATTTTACTTTATTAGAATTTTTATTTTTATAAAGTAATTATTAAAAAAAACTCTCTCATTAAATATTTTCTTATTCGCATTAAATTTTTTCTTATTGTAAAATGTGTTCTGTTGCATGACCTTTATCACAGTAGTAGTAATCAAAATGTATTATAATTAAAAAAATTGTAAAATAATTGTATCCACCAACTAATGTAATTATGTTTTCTTTCTTAACATCTACACTTACGTTTGTCTTGAACATAAACCTTTGCATAATAGTAAGAGTAAAAAGTTATTCACTGATATGAAAGAAGGAAAGAAAATGTAAGTATATATGTCTATAATATATAAAAATGATTTTTATTTTTTTATAACCACTTTTGTGTAAACTATATATATATATATATATATATATATATATATATATATATATATTCATATTACATATAAAAGGGGGTAAGAAGTAGTGATGCAGTAAGAGAAAAAATATATATCACAAATCTAAAAAATAAGTGAAAAATTATCTTAAAAAATAAAGTTTAAAAAAATTAATAATCTAAAAAAATATGGACATATATATTTTAAATTTATAATAATATAATATAATGAAAATAAAATGTAAAGATAAAATTACAATTGACATTTAAATTTTGTTGGGTGTTTAAATATAATTATTTGCCATAGAAGTAGAAGAAAAGACCAAAAAAATAATTTATATGATGTGTAATTATGATATTCAAACAAGTTTCTAGTAATTAAATCATTTAAAAAAAGTTGTCCCTGTGAGTTAACATGCTTAAATTCATGGTAGAAATTGGGTATAGTATAAAAATCAAAATTATTGCACCAACAAAATGCATTTAACACATAAAAATAACAACAAAGAAAGTCAAATAATATCGAATAAATTTATATGTTAATTAATATTAGTGGTAATATATGATTGATACTTATTTATTTATTATAATATCAGAATGTAATATATATATATATATAAAGTAATTGAAAAATGATTTTTGTCGAGGTTTAGGTTTTTTCTTAAATTTTTGTTCTTTAATTTGTTTATGGTAGGTTTTTTCTTCTTCTTTTTTGCATCAAATTAGCTTTAGTATTCAATAGGTTATATGTTCTCTGATAATGCATTTGGTTGAGGAGAAGAGGCAGTGGTGAAATTCAATATTTGTCCACCTTGATTTGAAATATATGAAAAATTTGAAAATTGATGAACTGTTATGACCCCAAATAAAGCAACAAAATCAAGAATGGAAAGTGAAGAAAGAAAAGTGAATCATTATGGAAAACGGTTTCTATTATTTAATAGATATATAATTTTTTTAATTGAGTATGATATTTTATCTTTAGATTATTTTAGAATTAGTTATTTAAATATATCTTTAATTTATATTAAAGAAACTGATTTGGATTTTGTTAGTTTGTATTCTATAAATAAGTTTATTATGCAACTTTTAAGAGGGGATTCAAAATTGATTTAAGAGTTTGCCTCTTGTAAAAAGCTTTTGGACTTGACATGAAAAAAAAGTTCAACATTGATGCTTTTATTGACTCTTGATAGCTGAACAAACAAGACTTAGCATGAGTTGTCTTATATTGATGCATAAAACTCTGGTTTTCAAAAACACATGAAAATTTAAATGAACCAACTAATGACTATGTTATAGCATAATAAATTAAATACTGACGTTAAATCTATATATTCGATTTTGCACATCTCGTCGCGTTTTTCAACTGCACGCATTTATGTCAAAGATTTCAGAATTGATGTTCCTCAATTTAATGGGGCCGATGTGGATTATTGGATTTTTCGTTTAGAGAAATATTTTAATATTACAAAAGCTTCTTTCAAACGACATATTAAAGTTGCGAGTTTTCATATGGTGGGACTGACCTACTCTTGGTATAAGTGGATGATATGTATTTATTACATTTACGATTGGCAACTATTTTTTGACGTGTATATCAATCCACAAGAGAAACAAGGCATATTGAAAGAATACCAAATTTAATTTGAGGTTCTCTCCGTTAGAGTAAATGGATTGACAAATGGTTAGTTTCTTTGTGGTTGGCTTGAACTATTATTTAAAGTACCAATTATTGCTGGTCAAACCACCCTTATATGATGAAGTTGTTGCTCTGGTCTTTCTTTATAAATAAAATTAGGTCACTTTATAACAATCATGGAACCAATCATAATTTTTTTTTCTCCTATTTCTCTATCCAATACATTTCACAATCCTTCCAACCATCCCAACCATATCGCACAACTCATTAATTCGACTAACAGATCTTCTTGAAAACTAACAAGCTTAAAGTTTTGTAACTCCCATATAATTTATGATTTTGATTTCTCTAAATTTAATGAACATTTAATATATTTACTTATATATTTACAATTTTATCCTCTCACCCCTCCTCAGTTTTGTAACTTTCATATCATTTATGATTTTGTCCCTCTCAAACTTAATGATTATTTAATATATTTAAGTATATATTTACAATTTTATCCTTTCATTCTTTCATTTTCTTACTTCATTTTATATTTATTTATTATTTATTAATAATATATTATTTAGCCCCTCTAAGATCGATGTTTAAGATCTCCTAACTCACTCCACACCATGGCAATCAAATACCTAGTTCAAATGTTCCTTTTTCTAATAAGAACCACGATGAGTCCTCCATGGTAGTCTCACATCCTCTCGTCACCAATCAGACAATGAGCAAACCTCCATATAAACGTGTTATTGCTGTAAGAGTTGCATGAATGATGTTGTTTGGAACTTTGTTATTATGGCAACGAAAATTACAACCCATGACATACTTGTCAGGCCAAATGAAATATCCTAATAGGACATGATATTTTTAAGATATCTGCCACAATTTATTGGATGACGAGTCATCTGACAAACAATCATCCATGGACTAAGGAATGCATAAATCAATTTTAACTTCATATAAGTAGAATATAGTCCTCACACACAATAGCTGAAATGTACATTTTAGTAGATGGTAAAATGGACTAAGTTTGATGGCTAACTCACCTAAAAAATGGCAGAAAATGGCAGGGTGAGACAGCTGATCCACTATAGAAAAATATTTATGCATTAAAATTAAAAAAAAATACAAATATTATATTTTTTTGTTATGTTGTTAAAATATGTAAATATATTATAATATTATAATTTAAATTATAAAAATTAATTAATTTTAAATTATTGATTATAATTAGTTATTTTGACATACAAATACAATATTTTTTCAATTTATTTAATACAAATATTAATTAATAAATAAAAGTTTAAAAAGTATTCATATAATTAAAGATATATTTTTAAAAAAAATACATATAAAAAATGTATATAAAAAATGATTGCGAGACTAGCTCGCTAGCTCGTCAACCCGTCCTTTAGTAGGGTTGATCGGGGTTTATGGTTCGTGCTGATTATGGCGGGCTATAGACGGGACAAACTAACCCGTTTTGTTACTCATACTTATATTGGTGGATAACGGCAGTTGATTCAATTTTATAAACCCTACAATTGCTCGTCAATTGAAGGTTTGTGAAGTAGATATTGAACTATTTAATGTTTTTGTGGGTATTGACGACTTTATATGGTGTAGCTCTTGCAGTTATGATGTTCCGATAGTAGTGTAAGTTGTTTCTTTTTCGGTTGATCTCCACCACTTAGAGATTCTTGGCCTATCATGGTTACAAAGTTTGGAATAGGTATTGATTGAGTACAACTGATTAATAATGGAATTTAGTTATCAAAGCACTCTTATCATTTTGTAAGTTGAGAGCCCTAATCCACTCAAGAATCGTCCTTTAACCATATGTTCCTTCACGATGATATCTTCTCCTTGTGCATAATCCAAATATACCAAACAGAGAGACCAACTTCTACCTTGCCGCCACTGGTCCAAGACTTGTTGATCGAATATGTTGTGGTTTTTTAGGAGCCTAAGGGTTTACCACCTTTCCGAAATATTTCACATTGCAGTCCTTTGCATGCAAATTCCTAACCAGCACAAATTAAGCCTTATAAATATCCTCACTTCCAACAAAATGGAAATCAAACATTGGTGACTAAAATGCATCAATTCGGGATCATTCGTGATAGAATGGGCTCATTCTCTTTCCCAATACTTCTAGTAAAAAAGAAAGACAACTCGTGACTTTTCTGCATAGATAATTGTGACCTCAATTTCATTATCGTCTAAGATTCTTTTTTTGATGCCTACGATTGAGGAGATTTTGGATGAATTGCAGGGTGTTGTCCTTCACACCAAACTAGATTTACATTCAGGATATCATCAAATTCGTATGGAGGATAGTGACATACATAAGACAACATTTCGTACTTACAGTGGTCACTACGAAATTTTGATCATGTCATTTGGTCTTACCAATGCTCCAACTACTTTTCAAGCCACCATGAATAAAGTTTTTCGATCCTTCTTGCGTAACTTTGTCACGTTTTCTTTGATGATATTTTAGTTTATAGCAAGAACTCGGAGGATCATCTTCGACTAGTTTTGGAAACATTACAAACTCATTGCCCTCTTGCCAAACTTACGAAATGTGATTTTTACAAAGACTCAATACAT